TAAATATGTGAAATTGTTTGTGTCTTTGTGTCTGAAATGAAATTTAATGTGGTGATAGTAGGGACTGAGAGGGAGGGAGAGGATATGCAACAAGATGCCACTAGTTTTCCTTGATTGAAACCCCCTGCGGATTAGGGAGGGGTGTGAATTGCAGCCTGGCTGAGCTGTTGGAAATGAATGAAAATTAATGGGATGGGCATCAACCTCACAAGTGAATGACTGAATAAATGCAATAAAAGGCTAATAGACAACACTATTACTCTGTTCATCACTTTGATTATGGATTTTTTTTTTTTGTTATAAGTTGGAGTACATGCATTATGTAATTTGTAAAATGATGCTGTAGTGGAGACCTTGCTACAACACTATGAAAAATTTTCCCTTGTTGTGAGATAGGAGGTTTGTAGAATAGTGAGATTCTTTCGTATGTTGAATCTTAATCTGTTCCTAATGGTGGGAGTGCTGAAGTAATGTATCTCACTGTGATCTGGTACTTCGGTATTTGCATAAAATGGCAGTTCTGTATATTCTTTTGGCTAACTGTAAATATAAATGTTTCATATTAGCATAGTTGAATTTTTGAGGTACAGCCATTTGTGTGAGATTAGAAAAGACAACTTTATTTCTAAGAACTTGTAAAAAAAAAAAGTATTTTCAATAAAATTCCCTACCTCACCTCTATTGTGCAGAAATTATCCCATTTTCCTATGTTTAATTTTCCAACTTCATTTTTAAACACAAAGAAGATCCCTTTTCTGTTATTGGCAAAACATTGTGTTTTTTATCAGATCAATCAAATATTCCACTTTCACGTGGAATGCTTGTAAGTCTGAAGTCTAATTTGTTTCCTTTGCTTCCTTTCCATTGTAGTGATCAGTTACTGATACCTGAAAAGCAAATTCTATAAAATTGATGCTGTCTTAAGCTGCTCCCTTGCTCTACCCTGGGGTGTAGAATCTGTACCCGGTAATTTTGTGGTATATAGTAGTTGGCCGTGCCTCGTTTTTTTATTTCTTTTTTTAGCAGTGGGGGGAAGGGGCGAGAGGGTGGGTGACAAGAGCATACCACTGGATCAGTGTAAGGCTTTAAGGGGAAAGGTTCTTGATCCTTGTTTTGCAGTGGAGGGGACTGAGCAAACACTTTACTTTCTTTAATTGGGATGTCAATGCACATTCCCCTGATGGGTTCTAAAAATAAATGCCTTAAAAGACTTGGAAGTTTTGCCAAGCTGAACTTGCTAATTTATTCCTCCTTTCTCTGAAATACTTAACTCATTACAACTTTAAAAAAAAAAAAAAAAAAAGCCAGGAGTGTTCTCTCCCATTGCTATGGGGAGTGACTGTTTCTCTGTCTTCTGAGGTGGATATAGCAAACCCAAATATTTTTTTTTTTTACTGTCAAGGTTTCAGTACTTGAGTTTCCTGCACTTAGGATGACAGCATTTTTCCTACCATAGTTCAGAGATTTGGTAGTCTTTGACAAGACCTGTAAAATTCACTTTCTTGTGGGTTCCTGTGGGAAGGGGAAAGTAGGGGAGAAAAGGCACGCTGCTGTGCATACTGGAAGCCATTCCCTGGGAGAACTCTTCTTCTTTTTTACTTACGTGCTAGAACCAGAGTGTTGATAGGAGGGTTGTAGAAGATGGCACCAGTTAAAAAAAAGTGGAAAAAGCACTAATTTTGAACCCAACTAATCTCAAAAGGCTGTGGGTTTTCTGGGCTTGATGTCTGCTTCCTTGAGAAGAAAAGCTGATGCATGTATTTTGAGATGCAAATTTTTAGATCATGTTGTTTGTTAAGACCAGTGTAAAATAGTGAGGTTGGCATGGCTAAGAACCCTCCTTTTTCCTGAGATTTGAGCAATTGCTCAGAGCTTTAAGTATTGCTGCGTACAAGAAATATTAGGTGTCCCCTACAACAGTAAAAGGGCACTGTCTTTTCAGGTTTTCAAATTTAAGCTCCAAATCTTGAGGAAACTTGGCATCACAGCAAAGTGGTCAGTCATACATACTACTTGGCAGCCGGCATACTTTGTCATGGGTTCTTCACTAGAAATGAAAACTGTAGTCTTTAAAACAGTAAGGCTTGCCCTGCTCAAATACTATAATTAAAAGTATGACCCTCCTCACTGAGTCACTTTTCATTGAAAATAAAGGTTTTTCAAGAAGGTTTTTAAGGTTTTGCACCCTTTCCCCTTATTCCATTAGATACCTTACTACAGGTATCTGAATTACCTGGATTCAGATGTCAAAATCTATGATCCCATCAAGAAATATGCAAAGTCAGACTTGTTTAGAGGATGTTGTACTAGGCTGGACTCAGCCAAGCGACCCAAGGCACCCTAAACCAACATACTTGTGTAATCGCATCTCCCCTGTTCTCCAGGATGATTTAGCTGAAATACCTTTGTTGGAAGTGTTGGCTTTGAACAACCACCTCATTCTTTAAGTCTGGCTAAACAAAAGCAAAAATGTGCTTTTACATTTGGATTAAAAACTCAGGTTAATGCTTTACTAATCTTTAAGTTGAAGACTAATTTTAGTGTAATTAGCTGTATTAAACATTTAAATTGCAAATAACTCATAATTTTAATGTTGGAGAACTCGGACCTTAACAAAATGTTAGTTTTGCTTATAAGACACATAAATAAGGAGGGGGCTTTGTAATTCTGACATTTTTTAATTAAGTGTATATCCTAGAGCGTTCCCGTTCTTTCCCTGCTTATGACCATCAGCTCAGTTTCATTTCACGGTAAATAAATCTCATATTTACTTTGCAGCGTTGTTGGAGACACTACCTTAATCTGAGAAGAACTAATATATATCATGAAAATATGTACATCCTGCCTGAGTTCATATGCCAGGGCTCCTCCCTTTATTCTGCAAGGTACTTTAACTGGAAGATACTCATGTGAAGATATTTTAAGGTGAAGTTGCTATGGATTTTTTGGCATGAGGACCAACTGGTATTCCTCAGAATGGGACTGTTTACTGTTTGAACTTTGAAGATGACTGTGATGTTAGGATTTCTCTTATACTTGCATAATGTTCTGTCATTGTTATGTGACATTATACCTACAGAAACTATTAATAAAGAATTTTGCTAGAAGTACTGATTTCTCTTTGCTTTTATAAAGTTTAGACCAATTCTCTGAAGTCAGACTACTGGGATGAAATAAAGTTTGAAAGCTATTTAAGTAGCTAAAATGTTTAGTACTCTGGGGAAAGTTGATTTTCTATAAAACTTAGAATTTCTTTCCTTTTTGTAAAACACAGATTTTCATATTACTGCTGGCACTGAAGTCAGGGCCTTGAATTCTTGAGAACTTGGCCCTTAACAGTTGCAGGGCTGAGGTTTACTGCAGCTCTTCCTGAAGCCTAGGTGCTCACAAAGGCATAAGGTTCACTGCATTTTGATGTGGGCAAACCAATTTTTGGTTTCTACAATGTCTGATTCCTGTGAAATCTGAAAAATACACAGCAGAAGCCTTATCAGAAAGAGGACAGTCTAAATACTAATACCTGTTTTTGTTGTTGTTGTTTTATTAGTAGATAATAATGTCCTTCATATTAATTTTGTGTAGTTAGTAGTAGCTAGTTTTACTAACTGTAAAAATAATATTCACAGTGCAGATGGAGACTGTTACATGTCATTTAATGCCAGTGCTCACTCAAGTGTTTCTCAAAACAGTTCAAGTTTCAGAATCAAAGTTGCTGCTCTATTTCAGATTAAGGATATTGAAAAATAGCCCTAGACTGTCTAGTGATTCAAACAGCATTTCATAGCGTTGGCAAACAAGAGAAAGGTAATGTTCCGATGCTTTTGCTGCTCTGTATCAGCAAACAGAAGGGTGAGAGTTACAAGACATCACTCTGAACACAGGAGACATGCCACTCTGTGATGAAAGAGGAGGTTCGGTGGGGGGGATACAGTGTGTATCAGTACCTGATGGGGGGAGTGAGGGAGAGCCAGACTCTTCAGTGTTACTACTGACAGGACAAGAGGCAATGGGCACAATTTGACCTACAAGACAGTCTGTTCGAACATAAAAACATTTTTACTGTGAAGGTGGTTGATGACTAGAACACGTTGCCTAGAGAGGCTGGGGAGTCTCCATCCTTGGAGATACTCAAAGCCAACTGAACAGGGGCCTGAGCAACCTGCTTCAGTCAGCCCTGCTCTGAGCACAGGGCTTGGACCAGAACAGCTGCAGAGGCCCCTTCCAACCTCAACCATTCCATGACCTGTCTGTAAAATGCACTGCTTCATTGAGCAGAGTCAGTCACAAAGTTTAGATTCATAGTTCTAGCCAGACTAGGAAATGGTCTTTATGTAACCTTAATAAAGATGCACGTGTACACCTGGGTATCTTGTGTCATTATCATGACAATATCTTGTAGTAATACTGCACCTCAGTAACAAAGAACTGATATACATATGCAAAAACTAGTTATTTTTTTTATCAGCTAAAAATTAAAGGCCCTGTATAGCTAAATAAAAACTTCAGTACATTTAATGCCCATATAGTTATGTGGTTTGAGGTTCCTAATGGATCATCACAGCCACACTCAGGTACAAGTTAGAGTAGAGCTTTCACAGAGCTTTCAGCACCTGCAATGCTTTCTGCCAATACCATGTGTTCCACAGACTTTTACAGACATTGGCATTCCGACATTTTACAGACAAACTGTCATCCCAACTTACCTTGCCTGTCACGTACCAGTGATGGCGACAGGTGTTTCTTTTCCCTTTAAGTCTCTCTAAATACAACCAGACGTGGCCCTGTGTTCACAGTGAAGGAATGCCCAATCCAACGAGCACAGACATTGCAAAAAATGTTACTTTACTCATACTGCTGTCTAATAATAGACTCCTTGTACACCGTTGCTCTCTAGTAATTTCTGCTGTCACTTTTAAGTCCAGTTCCTTCTGATCTTTTTTCACATGTAGAAGTTTTTTATATGGAAAATTTATACTCATTTGGCAAGAGTTTTGAAAAATTCATTGGCTTCCTTTCACAAAGGGATGGTCCAGCAACTGCAGAGCAGAAGGGCGTTCATGTTGATCTCTGCGTTGAGGGTTTGAAAAATCAATACATAAAATGAATATGCATGACCATGATGTAATTGTTTGTATAATCTAAACACAAACTTAGCTTTTTTTTTCTCATTTCTCCAGTCATTACTCATTTTTAGGATTTTTTGATAAAGCTGGTAGAAGGGAAGGCAGGATTTATGGGAAGAGACTGCTGGAATTTATGAATTATAAAACTGAAATATTTTATTATTACATAAATCAGTCTTTGTTCCTCTAAATTCCTTGCAAAACTTGGAATAATTCTGCTAATGTGGCTGTTTCAGGTGCACCAAAAATGTATTTATGGAGGGTAACAATTATTTGTTTGATCTTGTGTCACTCAGGCTGTTCTGTCATCTCCAATCAATGCCATGCATGTTAAGGAGCCCATATGCAATTAAAGTACTGTAATTACAATATTGGCTTGCTAGAGCCAAGAGCTTTGGGCTTTTTCAACCCTCAATTTGTAGAAACAAAAACAGGGGAAAAAAGGACACTGATTAATTAAAAAATAAACTAATGGGGAAGATGGGATAAGGGAGGAGTTTATATTTAGGACATGGTGAGATCACACATTAGAACTTTTCCACCACAGGTGCATCCTCACTTCTGGAAAGTTAAATACTGTATTCGAAAAGGTAAATGCTTCCTTCTACCTAACTATTCCTTCTACCTTTTCAACACCATTCTCCCTGAATCAAAATATACATGATGTTGCTGTATACAGTTCACAATTTTTCTGGTTATTGTTATATGGTCCACAGGAACTGTAACCATACCATAACAATTCTAATCTAGGGGTTAGAAATCAGGTTTCCTGCCTCCATGACCACTGCCATACCCACTCAATAACATGCTTCTCTCTAGTGCTCAAATTTGGTCTTTGGAGACATGTAAAATGCTGCTATTAATTTTATAAAGACTACCTGTAGAGGTCAGGGACTTAGCTCTTGAAATTGATAGTCCATTTAAGCATTTGGGACAAAGCTGGTATTTAAAACAAAACAAACATCACTAAAATAATTCTTATAATGGGTGAATGCTAGTGTTTTGGTTTTTTAATACAGAAAACTTTATGTTTCAAATAAATATGTATTTTCTGGACTGGAAATGATAATAGAGTTTTCTACTGGAGAAGATAAGAATTAAGTGAAAGCTCTTTCATTTAGAATATTGTCTTCAAAACAACTTGCCTGACGTAAGCCAGACTCAGCCAATGTGGTAGTGGAACAGCAAGACACATCAAAGAAATTTATCAAACATTTTGTCTAAAACTCAATGATGCCATATTTCTGCATGAAAATTACTGTGAAAGTAAATGGTGAGTATAAGGCATCTAAAAAGAGAATTTGTAAGGGGTTTTTTATACCATTATAGAGAGTAAAGCTCTTTTAGGTCTACTATTATTTAAAAGCTTTCCTGAAATGTTGAAAAACATATGAATTTACAATACAGTCATATCTACCATATAAGAGGTAACCTAAGTTCCCATCAACAATCTTGGTGATACAAACTGTCTGCATTTTTCCTTTCATTTTTCAGTTAAATAACTGCATACCTGGTTAAGCATGCGTGCACAAAATCCACTGCAGTACCGGAGAATCGATCAGGCAGGGAAGGCATCAGTCCCCTGTGAGCCCCAATATAGAACATGGCTGCTATCCTGTCCATGGAAGCCAGCGGTGGTTTTCCTGTTGCCATCTCAAATACGGTGCAGCCAATGCTCCAGATGTCTGATTTTCTTCCATATCCAGATTCATTTATAACTTCTGGTGCCATCCAGTATGGAGTCCCATGCACAGACTTGAGTGTCTCGCTCTGTGTGCCACTGAGGCTCACCCAGGCTAAACGCCTGGCACAGCCAAAGTCGATTAGCTTTACTATACCATTGGGCATGAGCATAACATTATTGCCTTTGATATCTCTATGTACCACACAATTGGTATGTAAATAGGCAACCCCTTGTAGAATTTGTTTTGTATATTTACAAAGGACAATTTCTGGCAATGGACCAAAACGATTAATAATACTAGAAATTGAGCCACCAGGAACAAACTCCATAAAAATGCTTAAAATGTTGTCTTCCAGACAAGTTCCTAAATAAGTTACAATATTGACATGCTTCAATGTCTTCAAAAGATCAACTTCCTCATGAAACTTCTGATATTCCTTTTCTGTAGTGAGTTGATCTGATGTATCCAAAACAACCTGTTTTACAGCTATTAATTGTCCCTGGCTTGTCAGACCGCAGTATACCTACAATGAAACTAGCATTTATTAAAAGGAAACATGAAATAAAACTGAATATTTACTTATTTTAAATAATATTTTTGTGTTTGTCATGTTTGGTGTCTCATTGTACAATCCAAAATATTTATTTGTTGAATAGGACAACAGCCAGTTTTAAGGTAAGATGTAGCTCAAAGATCTCTTAACATAGTCAGTAACTTACTGTGCCATAGGCTCCCTTTCCGAGGACTTCACCTCTTGTCCACGTGATAGGGTCTTTGTTAGTTAAACTGCTTCCTGGTAATTTAGTAGATTCCTCAAAATTTAACAGGGCACTTTCTTCACTTGATGTCAAAGAGGCTTTACTGTAACTCTGCTTGAAAGATGATGTTCAGTGTGGGGAGAAAGCAGGGAGGAAAAGAAAGGCTTCATATTATCCTTACATTTTTTATAAGGAGTAATTTTTACATAGCACAACCCTTCTCTATAGATTTACACACACACACACATATATATATATATATATATACACACATTGCTCATCGATACAATTGCTACACTAAGTAGCACTATGTAAATAATTGCAATACTGTATCACAACAGTGCATAACAAGAAGATTACAGCATGCCATCTTTTTCCATTGACAGGAAGACAGACAGAAGTAACACTTAAAATAGCAGGATATACGTCTGCTTACTACTTTTTTTGTCATGTCAGTACAGTTTGCTAAGCTGAAGGGTGACTATTGCCTTGCTCTAGGTAATGTATGTAACCCAAATCTGATGAAAACAATTTGGACATGACTTCACAGGAAGAAGAGACTGCTTCAGAAAGATGGTGATAATTACTCCATCTGGCCATGGATCTCCCTAGGAGAAGTGAGACTGGAGGTATAATTGGCACCTGTGTCTTCAGAAGCATAAGGAAGTGTATCAAAATGCAGTGAAAGATATGACCTTATAAATTTGTACTTTAAATAGATAAAAATCTAACAGGGCCAAGGAGAAGCAGTAGTGGTAGATAAGCACCTTAGTAAGTGAAGGCTCTTAACTGAGTTGGGAATCAAAATCTAAGCTTCTGTGCTAGAGGTTTTGATTAAACATTAATTAACCAGCCTTAAGTCTGTCTGATGAGCCAATACTTGTAGTCCATAAATAGAAAAGTATCTGCTTGCATTCAGAGATTCAAGGAAATTGCCTGTTTGGATATACAAGAACCATTTGTGGTGTCTTTTCACACTCCTTAGGTGTCAAGAGCTCAAGAGCTTTTCCCTTGCTCCAGCACCTTTTTATATATGCTCTTCAGTTGAAACAGCCTCTCCTTTTTATTCACTACAAATTCTCAATTTATCTTGACCCATCCTATAAGCCTTGATAGCTATTCCTGTCATGCCTTAGTATAATCTGGCTTGTATCCTGACATGCACGGATGTAACACGGGTATCTTCAACTGAGCACTGGAAGAATCAGAAAAGAGACTTGATCATTAATGAGCACATATTTCCTATCTTTCATCCCAACTTGTGTTGAAGCATCACTCAAAAGAGCTAGAAAGTTACGCTAAATTACTCTTACCTTCTCTAGAGCACTATTTACTATTGCTCCATCTCCATTCATCGTATTTTCTTCTTCTTTAGTATGTGTGTTTTGCAGTTTAGAACCTGTATTTTTTGTTGTTGAAGAGTTGATGTCTTTTTCTTCAAGCATTAGCAATTCTTTGTCCAGACAACAAAGTAACTCATCACTCACATCCTTATTATCTGCCCAGGACAAAGTGTTTTGACTTGTCTGGAAACTGGGGCTTGTAATATTTTTTGTCTGAATCACTGAAGGCTGAGTCAATTCATTTGCCAAACCACTGTTTTGAGGTGTGTATGCCCAACTGCAATTTAATTTTTTTGTAGGGGATTGACATTCCAGTTTATCTGAAAAGGGCAAAGCTTCACATTTATTTATAGACTTGAAGGAGGGCTGGTCTGATTCCAGGCTTTTGCAGCCATCCATATCCATCCTGCACTGGGGTACACAAATGGTCTGGTCTGTTGTTAGTAGACTGCTGCTTAGAGCAACACATTCTCCGTAGTCTTCATCACTGAACTGAAGAACATTCTGGCTACAGATAGATTTCTGATGGCTGGATATATCCTGGCTGTCTAAAGCATGCTCCAAAGAACCTTCTTTAATAGTTGATAAATTTGAATTTGAAACAAAAATATTTTGCTTAGTTGATTGTGAAAGCTCTTCTAAAAATGTAAGCTGATGATCTGTGTCTTCATTCAACAATGTCATGCTCCTTGAAGTGTTTATTTGACAACCTGAATCAGAAGTTATTCCATTATCTTGCTCTGTGTTGCTGTCCCTCAACTTGGTACTTCTGTCCTTTGGAATTAAACCTTTCTGCTTTTGTTTAGTGACAGGTACGGTCTTCTTTGGCTTAGAACAGGTTCTCTTTTGAGTATTTCTTACTCGGCTGTTCTCTCTCCCTTTACTGCAGGTAGATCTGCAAGTGCTAGCAGTGCAGCTCCCAGATGGAGCAGAACAAACTTCTCTACAAAAACTGTTCTCACGTTGATTGAGCTCACGTGTGTGGGAATAGACAGGAGTTCCAAACATTTCATAAATACCCGGGCCTTCATCATTTGAATTTATTTTCTTGAACATGTCACTGTATTTCAGATGAACAAAATCTGAAGCAGACTGTCCATGTGGTAGAGAAAGTGGAGTAACAGGTTTCTTTAAGATAACTGAATTTTTGCAACTGCAGGAGAAACTTTGCTTTTTAGGTTTCTGAGCAAAATGGCATTTGTCTGCTGGAGGGGTCTTTTTTTGACACTTCAGGGAAATCTCAGACTCTACATGTGGCAGTTTCAAAGATGGAAAAATCTGACTCTTAGCATTACATTTTCTGGAAATCTCATCAGAAACTATTAAGTCTTCAGATTTCTTTATCTTGATACTCGTTTTAGACTTTGATGAATATTTATTTCTCTTCATCTTTATTTTACTTTTGTCGTTTTCTTTGCGAGCGAGAATGTTGAAGCTCTGAGTAACATGAGGAGGCAGGCTACGAATGATACCCTTTTTTGTGGCAGGTTGTTTAGTAATGTGTCGTTCCATAGCTGGTTCTTGTTCAGAGAATGTAACATGAACAACAGGTACAAGCTCACTTTGGTCTTTTGAAGCTGCTTCTGATGTTGCTTCTTTTTCTATTTCAGAGTCAAAGAGACAAACGTTATTTTCTGTCTGTTTTTCAGGATGATCTTGCACTTCTACTCTGGGAATTACTGCAGCTACAGAATTATCTTCTAAGGCATAGTAGGCCTCTATCACTTCATTTTCACAGGAAGAAGCTAAATCATGATTGTCAAGCAGAAAGTTCGCACTCTCAGCATCTTCCTGTGCTCTATAATGCAGTATCACCTCTGTTGCATTTCCTCCTTCTAGGCCAGTTCTACAGGAATTCTCTGCTCTTTTATCCTTACTGCCAGCTCTCGAGGCATCTGTGTTGCTTGACACTGTAAATGTTGTCTGAACTGTAAATATGTCACAGTTTATCAGAGCAGTACTTGAGCTCAAGTAGGGATGACTATCATCACAGAAACTGGCTTGGGTCATAAGGTTCTTAGAAGCCACTGAAAACTGGTACTTCATCTGGTCATTCTGTTCAGTACTGGTGGCTGCATCAGCTTCCTTCCATTTCAAATTGCTTTGAATTTCTTCTTTCTTGTTGGTAGGGTACTTAAAATAGTTACTCATGCTGAAGTAGTACAGGTCTTTCATTGGAGTGAATTTATCAGAAAGAGTAGCCACGATCAGGTTTGATGACTTTTCAGTTTGCCTTTTTAACAGATTGTCTAACTGATACTGATAAAATTTAGTAACTGCTTTTATAGGCTGAGGAATAGAGTTCATAATATTAAAAATATTTCTGATGTTGGTGCTTTCATTGACAACATTATCTTCTAGAGGAGCAAGATGAATCGTTCTTACAGGCTGAAATGTCACTGGTGGCAAACGAAACTGTAATTTCCATTAAAAGCATTAATAATGTGCTACACAGATTCAGGTAAAATCTAATCACTAGGAACGAAATAGACTAAAAAAAAGAAAATCAGAAAAGGATTATTCTTGTATATATTCCCATATTTAACTTAATATGAAGGGTAATATCAAAACCTTGAGAAAATACATTAATTTTCTTACATCCATACATTAATTTTCTCACATCCAGCATTATTTCTAAGTATTTCATTGTACAGAAAGTGGAATCCTTTGCTATAAGGTATAAGTCATTCACCATGATTTGAAAATAATAAGCTTTGTCCACACATACAAACCGTCTTGTCAGTTATTAACTACGTCTTATACCACATAGCATGTTTGCTACAGGAATTCAAAGGCTGGTCAGTGCCTTCAAGTGCCAAAGTTCCTTTCTTACTGTTCACTCTCACTGAACAACAGCGTGACTCTTATGTTGACATTTAAAGTCTTTTTATGTAACCCTCCAAAGTGTACTGACATCTGTAATTATATTCTTAATGGAACCAGATCTCAGGTAAACAATTTTTAAAAAGCAAAAGCTAAAATATTATAACAATGTTATTTTATCCATAGAGAAAACTACTATTACAAATTATTTATAGGTTTTAAAATACATTATTATGGAATCATAAAATGGTTAGGGTTGGAAGGGACCTTAGAGATCATCAAGTTCCAACTCCAGGTAGGGGGCATCCACAGCTGCTCTGGGCACCTTGTGCCCGTGTCTCACCACCCTCACAGTAAAGAATTTCTTCTTAATATCTCATCTAAATCTACCCTCTTTTAGCCTAAAACATTACCCCTCATCCTATCCCTCCAACCCCTCATCAAGAGTGCCTCTCCATCTCTCCTGTACTGGAAGTTAAGTACTGGAAGCTGCTCTAAGGTCTCCCTGGAGCCTTCTCTTCTCCAGGCTGAACAACCGCAACTCTTTGATCCTGTCCTCATATGGGAGGTGCTCCAGCCCTCTGACCATCTTTGTGGCTCTCCTCTGGACTCCAACAGGTCTGTATCTTTCTTTAGCTGGGAGCCCCAGAGCTGGATGCAGTACTCCAGGTGGGGTCTCATGAGAGCAGAGTAGAGGGGGAGAATCACCCTGAATCTAAAAATATAGCTCTTCCATATGTTTAGTGTACTCTTATAAAATTCCATAAACAATGCTATATAGGCCACAGATTTAGCTCACAGAGTTTTAAGAGCATTGGAAGATAGCACAGTCTGCACTTCACTGTCAGTGAAGTTAAATGGGCAGCTACGCAAAGGCCATTTTTCTACAGCAGCTGACAGAGAAGCTTCTTCCCAACTCATGACTTGAAAGGTACTGTACATCTTTGAAAGAAAACAGACCTGAGAATTAGAGTACTTTGTTGTGATTATTCAGATTAATACTAAGAATAATTTTCTGAAAATAAATATTCTGGTTTTTATTTTATAGGAAATGGAGAAAAAAAATCTTGAATATACTATACATATTTATGCAAATGAATGCAATAGAAATAAGCAGAGTCATATGCTCTGAGTACTCATTTGCATGTCTATATTAAACATCAGTTTGCAATCTGCAGGAAATTTTTGTTTGCATTCCAAGGGCAAACTGAGGTTTGAATGTGCCAGGAAAAGCAATGAGTGCTGTTTTGAAATTTACAGTTCTGAAGGCTTTGTCTAGTCTGCATGGCTTTAATATGAATGCTCAGTTTATCCCAAATGATACGCCTCTACAAATCATCAGAGCCTAAGATGTGAAATAAAGCTGTATTAAATCACACTGCGGTCAGCTAAATTATTTTTCTAAAACGTTTCCCTCCATTTGAAATGTTTTTCCATAGCCCTTTTTATGATCTTCTGTCAGAACTGTTGCTATTACTTTTATACTTTTTTTTTTTTCCTGTGTATTTTTTCCTACTGTATTTTTCCTGGGTATTTTTTCCTATTGTATTCTGTAGTGGGTTCACTAAAGTATGCAACTGATTCAATAAATCAAATCTTTTGTACAAAGGGCTATTAATTAATATCCATAAAGAACAAATTATCTTTTTTCTAAATACAGTATATATGATCTTTCGTAACTTTTAAGGCTCAAGTGGTGTGGAGCACTGATTCCTGTAAAATTGCTAGCTTGTCTGTAAGTACAAAAGCAGCTATAAAACCTGTTTTGTCAGGAATCCTATTCACACTTATCACAAAATTTCATGTCAAATATGTTTAATCCTAAGACCTTATTTTTTATTTGCTAACACAATAAATTTCAGCAATCATATCAAGACCGTTCTTCAGCTTGGCTTCAGTCTTAAACTACCATTCAATACAAGAAAATTGTTTGGTTTTTTAAATTTGGCAAAACTAGACATCTAACATGTTTAACATCTAGGATGCACACGCTCTAAATTAAGTTATATATGTCTATTTAAAAGGTTTTATGTATTTTTGAACTTCTGACCCTTTTAATACCTTACATCAAATTGCTGATATACATCTGAAGATTATCTGACACACATATATAAATTAAAAATATATGTAAAAATACTTCATGTCCATCCAAAAAAATGGAAGACTAAGCAAAGGAAACTACCGACACTTCTTCTGTATTGCTATTTTTAAACTATTGAAAGCATGTAATACTTCTAACTGTGTTCAGTTTTATACATAATACCATCTTACCTCAGATCTCTTGTTCCTGGTTTTTAGCATTGTTATATGTAACCCTAAAAAATCAAAACAAATGAAATGTTAATTTGCTATTCTTAAAGAGACTGGAATTTTAACTTATAAATTAATTTCAAACTGTAGGGTTCTGGGGACCGAGAATCTGTCTGATGTGTGGACGCAGGACTATGCTATAAATCTCCTATGCAGAAAAAAGTTGTAAGTTGAAATTTAATTGTGATACTGAGCTTTACAGTTCTATTTTCCATAGAAAACTATAAAATATGATAATTTTAAAATACTTTGGTTCTACTAATTTAAACAAATATTTTTCCTCAATTTCAGATGTTTGCTAACTTCAATATGTGGCTGATTAACATTGGCAGTATGAGAAAAAAGGCTGAAGAGATGTCATCAAGGCCCCACTCCAGCTACAGAGAATGACACCCTACATTTTGTGGGCTCGGTTTCATTACACAGAGTAGCAGGTATGGTGAAGTCTGTCATTGCTTGCCTTTATCTCTTTCATTCTGCAAACACACGCACACACATAATTAAAGAAGAAGGTCAACATGGCTGAGCTGTATGTGAAGAAGTCAAACACACATAAAGACAACTCAAAGTTTAAAGAAAAATTATTTCTAAGGCTTTGCCATCTGACTTGATAGCAATATATAACTTTATTTAAAAGCTGTGACTTTTAAAATTGAACTTACTTTGTTGTATTTGTGCTTTTGTTATCTGAAAAGCATCCAAATCCATAAATGATTTTGAAATGTTGGATTCCGGGCATGAGGCCTGCAGCAGAAAGCTGAAATCAAAACCACACCCTGTGTTCTCTTTTTTCAGGAAGAAAGGGAAAGAAGATTCTGACACATGGTTTCTGAAGAAAGAAAAATCCAAATATGGAAAAAGATAAATCCTGTGACTGAAAAGAGGTACAAAAATATAGTGTAAATTAATCTTAAAGCTGTATGCAAGATAATTGTCCATTTTTAATTAAGTCAAATGCTGATGTACCACCATATACCATAAGTTTTTTCATATTTTACCAAATAATTTGTTCATCTAGCGCAACATCCTGCCTCCAGCAATGACCAATAAGACAGAAAGACTACACAACATATATAGCTGTGTATAACATCTGGCACGGCAAAAATATTTTCTTACTCATAGGCTCATGCCTGCTTTGTCTCCGTTTCTGCATATCCAACTGCAAATTAAATATTAATACTACCTACCTGTTTTTTCCTAGAATTTTGTATGACTGATGCATTCCTTTCATTATCTTATCTGCATTCTGAACAGCAACAACACTTCCACAACCTGCAATTTGCATAAAAGCAGCATAATTCACTGACCAGTAACACAAAGCAAACACAGTTATTTTTGGCCATTAAAATATTATTATAAAGAAATACAGGAAGTAACTATGAGAAAAAAAGAGCCTGTTTCATTTGACTAAGATTCATATACATACTTTCTGTTATAATTTTTGGACACGTGAATGCATAAATCTGAATTATTTTTATTTGTTATTATTTTGGCCATGTGAATACATAAATCTGAATAATTTTTAGCTATTTAGGTAGATGCATTAATTCAATCTATTATAAAAGCAAAGAACATTTTAAAAATTCCAGTTACAGCAGAACAGAAATATAAGAAACATTGACAGAAACTCTACAAAAATAGAGTTTTTAAAAATAGGAAAGGTATTAAAACAAAAACAAATCTCAGGGCTTTTCTAAGGTGGAAAATAACTCTGAGTTTGATTTCAAATTTTTTTGTGGTTGCTTGGTTTTGACAAGTGGCTAAATTTCAAGTCAACATTGTCTTTTTTCTTCTTCAAATCCCACATGTAACACTTTATACATAGAAACTTTGGTTAGACTACCTTCTCTGTTTCTCCTCTTATTTTGTTGGTTGTCAGACATACTGTCCTTAGATGTATTAAGGTCCTGAAACCTAAAAAGATGTTTCATTAATTGATTTCCAATTCACATATACAGCTCAGTACTTTATATTTCACTATTTCAGAGCCATAAGTAAGACAAAAGCATTTCTAAAAGTACTTGAAATTATTAAAAATATTATAATTTAACTTTACATCCAGTGCCCTGTCCTGTGAATACACAGAACCAAACAGTCCAGACACAGTTTTTATTGCTAAAAACTCAACATATGCTGTGCTGAATAGGACATGAAAGCTGTCAGTATTATTCTGCTGAGATCATCCTTACTGTTGGACCAGAAAGTCAACACTTCACATTTGGGAGACAATTGCATTTTTAACATATTACTGAGAGGCCAAATTTGAATTAAACACTTATCTTTGTCTACCTGGTCAAAATTATCTCTCAGCAGAAGAGGTTCAACATCCAAAACTTTCTGAGCACAGAATAGCTTGCGCACGGCAGCCTCAACATATCTCTTTGATAGCTTATTCCAAAGAAACATGAAGGCACCTGGAATCTTTCTATAAATTCAGTGAAATATGCAATTTACTTTGTAAGTTCTTTTTAAGTATCTTGACAGTAAATCTCCCGCAATACAAACAGTCTAGTTTTAAAAATACATTCAAAACTTAGCTGGGCATTCTTCTCTACAGAGCCAGTCCATCCAGACTGACCTGACTGAAAACTTTAACAAAAATCTCATTGATATCAACAAGGTATAAATTTCATGCTTTATCTCATACCTACTATAAATACATGAATGGCAATGTATTATCTCTGAATATTTACAAAGGTAAATTTTTTCAGTGTTTAAAAATTATACACATTATAAAAAAAAATCCACTAAATTGTTACCTTTTTTGTTGTCACTGAATTTCTGTGACCTCTGCCAGGCCTCTGACTGAATTTGGTATAACCAAGAGCCAGTAGCCAAGACAGAGTTGGTCTAGTAGCATATTAGTAGTAAACTTTTGTTTCTCACTCAAAACTATTGTCTTGTCAGACAACCATGAGTGTATCTTTCTGTGAGCATCTTGGTACCTCTGTATGTTTAGAAAAATATATTATTCAAATTGTACTACCTTTATAAAACCAACACACCTTAAAGCTGTCATTAAACTTGTATTACAAACATTTAACTCCTGGTTGTTGAGAGACATAACAGTATGAATAACAGAGCTATCCATGTACCATCTGTAGTCAGGCGTCTCAAACTCCTGGCCTTCTACGAGGATATATGAGCTCGCTACACCTACATGACAGGCTTAAAAGAGATTTCTATCAGGATTTCCAAATAATGCTTCGGTATCTTTAGAGATCGGTTCTCCAACCTTGAATCATTCCATATAGAGATTAACTAATCCATAAATATCACCTGCATATTCAAAGTTATGCTTTTACAGTATTTCTAAGTTGAGGCAGAAACAGTAGTAAGAATAATATTCATTGATAGTATTTGTGCCTTGTGTTTTCAGTTTCAAATAACAGGATTTTTGATGAGATTTACAAGCTCACGATAGCAAAGTCAAACATTAAATATTTGAAAAAGCTGCTCTCAGGAAATTAAAACAGCAAGCGTTTTCTCTGTACATTTATTTTCTACACCTTATGTTAACAATTGTATGCAGAAATAACAGTAATTAGCTAGGTGCTTCTCCAAATTGTCAGTAAAGTCACAGTCTATAAGGAAAGCTGTATGAAAGTAGTTTAGTTGCAGTGGAATTTAATATCTCAGTTCTTGCAGAAAAGAACATGGTTGGGGGAAATCAGACATCTAGTAGCTCTATTACTAACTTCAGTGGGACCAAGATTTCACAGCAGTTCAGATTGGACTGAGAGCATATACCTGTGAAACAGAATATGTACATTCTTTTCTCACACCTAGCACAGATGCTTGCATCATCTCAAAAAGCTACCTACACTCTAGAAATCTTTTTTTAACATATAAGGAAAACATGACAATTATCTAAAAATGTAAAGTGTTTCAATATATTAATTCAGTGGGGCATATTTACTTTTGAGATTGTTTTCAGATAAAACATGGTACGTATTTTGAATTAATTGTAGTCTACTACCTACCGTATCTGTATTCCTAACTCTAGCTGATCTAAATGGTGTTTCTTTCTGAAGTAACTGGTATCTTTTGGTAAAAAAAAAATAAATCGACAGTTGTTGAAAAACACTGAAAAGATAGAAATAGATTAACCTTCTCCCCACAGTTTTAATTGGAAATGCCACCATTGTGATTTTAAGTTTTAATGTTATTTCATACAACTATTACCGCCTATGCCGTATCATCCCAAAGGCATGACTTATTTCCCACGGTGGGAACAAGCTGTCCGCAAACATTGGTATTTCTAGACAAAGATGCTTTTATTAGGCGTTACCCTTAATTAGAAGATTGCAATAAACCTTTCCCACAACTCATCAGCAATAGTTATGGGAAAGGAGCTATCTGTCACCCTCCTGGTTAATATAGCTATGTGTGGGCAATATTGATCCTGTTTACAGTTAACACTACTCCTGAATAGGGTGAGTAATCATACAGGGAGCTGTTTCACGATTATGAAATCATCAACCCTCTTTTCTAAGATTAAACTCAAAGATTAACAATACCATAAGCTGACAGTGACATAAACAACACAGAACAATCACAAATTGCAGACTCTTAAAGAAGAAACATGAGAGGGTGAAGTCAAAGGATTTGACGATTTGAAATTCTAGAGAGCTAAATAAATCTTAAATCTTAAAATAAAATTAATTCCAATTAATAGTTTTGATGGATTTGTGCCTTTTTCTGAAAAACACAGTGAACTTCTGTTTCCCAAGTGACAAAAACGCATAATATAAACAAAGACTGTGATTTGAAATTAATAAAAGAAAATACAATCATGAATATTATTAATATCTGTATTAAAATGTTTCCCAATGTATTAATTATTTAATAAATAACTTACAGTTAAAAAACATAAAATGCATATGATATTGTACATAAAATAAATAAGATATTGTCAGATATCTTATGTGTATGAATGTACATGTATTAATATGAATACACATTTAAACATACATGAATAACAGTGTCAAATTCTTACACGGGGCAACTCTGGGTGCTAGAGAGGAATATTATAAAGTCCATAATGGAAAATTACGTAATAATATGCCTATAAGGAATTTTTTTCCTACTAGCTAATCAAGAAGAATGTAATATGACAATTTATAACTTTTACATTTCTATGTTCCTGCTAATATTGAATGAGGTCTAACTTTTTACACACCATAAATATCTTACTCCTTTACAGGAAATGTTCTGTTGTACTGACATAATCGATATAATGTGGCACTGGGTTCTCCTATTTAACCATCTAAGAAACACATGCCATATCCATTTAAAACAATTATCTTTCAATAAATGTTTCTTTTCTTGCATTTGTATTTTCAGTTTAATTTGCTGCGATATAATCTCCCCTCACACAAAAATATTGCATAACCACCATATATGTGCTACCAAATTAAGCTGTTTTAGAATGTATTTTGTATGGCAGGCTAAAAGAAAGCAATGTTTATTAGGAAAACTAATTTCTTTGTACAATTTTGTTTTTTCTCTGCTCCTCTCCTCACATACATACTTTTAATTCATTGCTTGTCCTTACATCACTCAACTGAATAAAATAATTTGTTTTCTACATCTTCCACACCTAGGAGTACATAACATTTCCAACATTCATTATAGATTTTATTACAAGCTATTCCTAACAGCAGTCTTGGGTACTACCCCGGCAATGTTGTTTTTTTTTTTTTTGAGTACCCTCATAAATTCTTGTTCTTAATAATAAATATCTATTTTTTTCCTTTGCAGCTGAGCTGAGGGCTCTCAGTAGTACTACTAACGTATATGGAAAAACCACCTAATGTCAAAGTACTACCAATGGTAAGATGTATGCAACAGACAGAAAGTAACAGTCAGTGTGGCTGTCTGTCCATAAGGAATCATTCCATTTTAGAGTCACTTACAGATGTCAGTGGAAATGAAGGGCCTATGTGGCTTTTGTTGGATTCAGTAGCATTTTGCCACTCAATACTGCTAGTCATGAAAATAATTAGGCTTTTGTTTCTGATTCTATTAGCAAAAAAATATAATTACTTGTCAGCATGCAGCAGCCTTCCCTAGAGACTCATGCATTTATCCTAGATTAAATTAATTTTATAACAATTTTATATAACACTTTATATCGGAGGAATGTGCATTATTTTATAACTATGTAGGAGCCAGGCATCAGACAGTACTGTCATTCTTAGTTCACAGAAGAGGAAACAGACAGAGAAAAATTGAATGACCTATAGCTGATGAGCAAGGGCATCCAATGAACTGTGCAAAAATAGCTACAGAAGTCATCACTCTTGATTTCTCATTCTTATGCTAAACAGCAGATAATCCATTAATATGTTTTCCTCATTGTATTAGTCTGTTAAGAGTCATATTAGATGGTGAACTTCTCCAGACTTCACTTTTTTTTTTGATACACAAAAACCCTCTTCAAAATAATTACTGAAAAAGTTCTCTAAAAAGGCATAAACAACATCTTACCTGGTACTTCAGTTGCAAAGTGTGAAAGAGGCACAGCAGCCCAAAGATAAGTTACAGAGCATTTTTAGCTCACAGCTGTCTTCCTTTGCTGGACAGCAAGCAATGCAAACAGTAATTATATATACTTTGATTTTATTTTCGGCATGTCTTTCTGACTGCGAGCACGTAGTACTTTTTTACTGAGGCAGGATCTTCTGCAGGCAAATTCTCCAGGCAGGCTCTTGAGTTTACACGATGTTGCCGAGGCACCCCCCCCCCCCCGACACACACACCCCGGGGGCATTTTGCTTGGAGGAGTTTAATTCAAAGAGCAGTCGTGACCTATGGAAACAAACACAGCTGAACCAGACGGTAGCATTTTAAGCTCTAATCACAAGACAGTTCTCCCAGA